TATTTCATGCCTTATACTTTGTCACCCACTTTTAATTAGCGCCTTCTTAATCTTCCTTTTTCTGGTAAATCTTCTGGTAGTTTGAGTAACTGTTTAGTTGATACAATGGCTACATCATCATCTACAGTTTTCTCTGGTTTATAAAAATTTACAATACTTATTTCTTCATCATACACATACTTCTATTGATTATCAAACTTATATAAGTTATTATATAATTTTGTGAGATTATCATCTAACTCTTGCATTGCATTGTTTACTTGATTTCTTTGTATAATCAGTTTAGATCTTTCAGAAATCAAATAGTTTTTACATTTTTCTTTTTGTTCAGTGATTAACGGTTCAACAGTTTTGTTCCAGATTTAAATAACTTGGTTATTTGGCGATTTGGGTTTGATGTTGATGGCCTAGCATTATTATCGGTTATAGAGTCATCAGAGTTTGATAACTCAATAGTGTTGATATATTTTTTGGATAGCTATTGTCAAGTATGCATTTTTGGTTTTTATCTGTGTATTAATTCTGTTAAAATGCAGTATGCTTATTTTCATACAGGTCCCACAAACTCGTTTATATGGCTTGTACCGGACATTTTAATAATTCCCTACAGATTGTAGAGTGGCATAGAGCTTTTTATTACGTTTTGATTTGAAGTTATAATTAAAAATATTGATATTTAGGCCGTTTGGAGATACATATACCTAGATAAGTTTATATGTTTATTTATGTTGTTGGTGTTTTAAATTTTTAAATTTAAAAAATGGGTTGTAGACAATAGTAGTAGTTACCTTTAGCTAGTATAAATAATTAAATGAAAAACCGAAAATTGTTGGAAATATAGTATTTGTTTGCGATTCAAGAAACAACGAACGTTTTTCGAATATATTGTTTCGTAGATATGTACCATCTATTGACTCGGCTGCCTGTGTATTTTGGATTGTATTATTGTAAATATTGTTATTAATTTATATTAACTATTTTATTCAACTGTGTTTGTCAAGTGTCAAGAAGACATTTAGAAGATTAGCTAAATAATACATTGTTTATAGTCGTTATTAAATAAATCGAGTTCCTTATCACGTGCTAAGAATCAAATCATATGTACGAACTACTGATTGATTAAATAAATTCTAGTTCATAAGACGTGTTAATACGTTTTTATGTATTAAAGTAGACAGATGCGAGTATAAGGAAAAATTTCGTGCTGACTGATTAGAGAGAGCGCTAGTGCTACCGGCCTTCGTTAATCGTTCGTTCACCGTTGATATTTGATAATAAGTTTATACGGTGGTCTCAGTAGGAACTGAGAACTCTACGTTATGGTGTCGCAACTCCCAACGTGCAGAAATGCGTTAAACAAATCGATTTTTGTCTGATCATAACTTGTTCTTTCACCGGACAAGTAAAGAAATCATATTGTCACTTTGATACTCGATCAGCCGATTTTTTTTTTTTATTTACCTTGATTAAATCCCTATCTCCGAGAAATATGGAATCGAGCCCTCGCGCTGCGCACCAATCTTTGGTTTTAATGACGGTTACGAAAATGTTTACTAGGTAGGTACTGTGGTGTTCAAACCCGCAATTACCGAACCAGTGTTATCCATTATATAGTTCGTAGGCGGTAGGCCTCCTTTTAGTTAGTTAAGTATCGCGGCGACATTACGATTTTTAACAATATATGGTCAGTCAGTACATGATATATACCTACAAATAAACATATTAGGTATTATAGTTTTAAAATTTTGCAATTATGATTTAAAATAACTTTTTAAAATACACATTTGTTATTTTAGTGGTCGCCGTCTACCGGCCCGTGTATAGGATTATGATGAAGTGGTGATATCGCATAGGCGCAATTTGGATTAAATTTATGGGATTGCTAGATCATGTTGACCAAAATGATCCGTGAGTGACTTTTCCTTCACACCACTTACCTACAATATCATTCATACATTTTCGTTGCGCTACCTTATTACTTATAAATTATTAATAATTTATAATAAAATAAAATCCTAATAAAGAAAATAAAACACAAATTTTAAATTTAACTTATGAGTAATAACATTTTTATTTTTATTTAAATATTATATTAAAGATATACAATACATCTTTGAGACATACCTACTAAAATTATTTATTATTTTATCTTTATCAATTTTAGTGCTAAGATCTCTCTCATTTTTCATTTACTGAATAGTCGAAAGACGTTTCGGCGTAATCGTTATCGACTTATCGATAATCGTTTTATAAAATCTTCTTGTGTAATTAATACTTAATAATTTACCTATTAATCATAGTTCATAATATAATCAATAAATTGACAATAATACTTTCTATATTATTCTGATCAATGATTGGTATGTTTTATTATTATTATTATTTATTACTATGAAGATGAAAAGTCGTAGAATCAAGTTTATCCTGATGTCTATGACATAAGATCATAATTATTCATAATTTATAAAATTATAATCAAAAAAAATTCGATGATGTTATTAAAAATTTGGGGTGCTAATATGCAATTTGAGAGTGTTAAGCACCCCCCTAAATTGCGCCTATGGGTGACGGCCTAGGTTCTAAGTCAATAATTGTTCTCTCATAAATAATAACCTAAGCTTATTGATAGAAAAAAGTTGAAACCCGACTTTGTTATATATCTAGTTAAATCGTCATGAACAAAAATTATAGTAGGTACCTAGTACGATTTGCGTAAGCACACGATTTTGCCTACAAGTATATACACTAGATAATATTTTAATGATTACTACAGCGTTTCATCGAAAATTATTTAGGTAGTTTAGGTATAGCTTATATTTTATAATACGTCTCTATACTGCTTAATTGATATTGTCAATACCGTGTGCTCATAAACTGAGCACCATGAAAATAAAAATAATAGCTTGCGAATTTTTGGTACGGGCTACCAGAAAAGAAAATTATATTATATTATATTGTATTTTTATGTATCTAATTATTAAAAATTATGTATTTTAAATTGTTTATAATTTTTATATTGCTTAATTATGTAATAAATTCAAAATACATGCATAATGCAAGACTGGGTTTCCTCACTGTTTAAGTATAAAATTATTTCCCCTCCCCATATTATACATAATATAAGTACTTAAGGACTATTATTAAAAAAAATTCTAGTTCTATCTCTGATGTCAACTAGGAATTTGTAATACACTATACAACAATAACTAATGAAAACCCACAAAATAAATATACATTATTAGTATTTTTTTATTTTTTAATTTGTGTTGTAAACATCATTAATCATAATAAATGGTAAAATTGAAAAATATGTATTTTAAATTTTTAATATTTTTTTCGTACTGTTGTGGAATTAATTTCAATCTTACCTAGCATTAAATCTAATAGCCCCCCAAAAAAATATTATTGTAATTTTCAAAAATATACATACGTAAATTGTTTTATTATGTTATCATGAAAAATCTATTTTTGATTTATCTTTAAATATTAATTATAAATAAAAATATATGCAGTTAAAAATAAAAATAGTTATTAAATCTTAAGTATAATTTAAATATAGATCTTCATTAAGTAGAAGTTCTTATAGAATTTTTATTATTTGTTGATAAAATATGCTTTGATATATTTATATATTTTTGAGTACAAATTCACTAAAATTTGGTAACATATTTGAAAATATATACAATTTAAATTTTTAGATTTTAAGTTTTGTGAAGATGCGATAAAATAAATTTGTGTCGAGTTAATATTTTATGTGCATCTTCCTAAAAAAAAGTTCGATTAATGAACAAGTACCGAGTTACAGTGCCGTGTCTAGCACTACTCGTATTAGTACTCGGTGCCAAAAATTATTTTTAATGCCCTTATTCCCTCTACCATGTATGTTTATATCTAAAGAGATAACATAAGAGTAGGGGAGAGAAATTCGTTAGATTTACCTTTTTTTTGCACATTTCTAACTTAATAGATTAGTAATATAATATTTAAACTGTATACGTAGAATAAAAAATATTGATAGATAGGTACCCATCATACTAAACCGGTATCATTTATTTACGAATCAAATTTGTTCGATGTTCGATTGTATAAAAAAATAATTTTGTACCTACTTCTGCAATGAGTGATTTGAACATTATCATAGATGGGTTTAAAATAAAATCGTACAATTTGTTCCAGTCGAAATTCTGTTATTAAATTATTAATAATTAAATAAATTAATAATAATAATAATGCAGTATACAATATACATATATTTATAGTATACTATTGCTATTGATGATCAACGACGTTGTTATTCCAAGATAAAAATAAAAACAAATTATATCTATACATGAATAGGTATTTTTACATAATTGCCTACAATACATTTTAAAACGTTATCTCATCGCCAGTCAAAATAATGAATCGACACCGCCGATCAGGATAATATTATTATATTGTAACCGTTAAAAAATATAAATTAATATGATTGATTTTCATCTATTAGTAATATTACTTAGATTATAAAAAGATTTTAGCGCCTTGGTGGTCATGGCACCTGGTGCATACGCACCTCTCCCCCCCCCCTCCTAGGCACAGCACTGCTGAGCCTTGTTATTAAAACAACTTTTCATAATGTACAAAATAGTTAAGTCTTTGACAGATCTATCAAAACAGGTATTTTTAACATTGCAAATAATATTTTTATATTTTAACAATTTTTTAAATTATATTACAACTTCAATAGGTATAAAATAACTTTATTCAATTGGTTTAATACGCAAATAATAAAATGTGTTTGTTTTAAGATCCAATAAGGGAGATCAATCTATTATATGTGAAAAATTAATCTCCATAGATACTAAATTAGGTTTTTTCTCAAAGTCTCCATATTTACTATAAAAAAAGAATGTATAGTAGTTTTTGTAACTGATCTATAATATTTTAAAAATATTACACTTAATGTGTGAAATGTTTTCACTGTTATTTTAAAATAATTTTATTTCATTTTACATTTTCAGTGCTTTTGAGTGAGACAATTGAAAACAATGATCTACAATTTAAGACATTAAAAATCACAGACTTTGGTCTTGCTAGAGAAGTCTACAAGACAACCAGAATGTCTGCTGCTGGAACCTATGCTTGGATGGCTCCAGAAGTTATAAAAAAATCAATATTCTCAAAAGCGAGCGACGTTTGGAGGTTTGGAGAAATTAATAATAAAATATAAATAAATAATAGTATTAAATATGTTTATATAGGGTTATTTTATGTCATTGTATTCATTATTTTTCATAGGTTATTAATCAATAATAAAGAATTTAAAATAAATAAGTTTATTTTTATTTTTATAGTTATTTTAAAAATGTTAAGCGCATAATATTATATTAATATTAAAATAAATTAAATTTTTTAAATAATAACAACTGTATTTTAAATTGACTTTGGTAGAAAGTGCTTGTTTTCTGAACACTTTGATAGAAGAATTATCAATTTTGTTTCTGTATATTAAATTTAAAAATAATTAACCATATTTGCTAATCATTTTATAGGCATTTTAAATTAATTTAATGTTTTTATTTTTTGTATATTTTATTGTATTTTTTATTTAAATTAGAATATAGATAAGCAATTTCTTGAAAAAAAAATTTTTACCTTAGTTAACTAAATAATAAATTTTGTTTAATAAAAACTTTAGAGGGCAATAGTTAAGTGAATCATAATTGATGTAATAATCAGCTCTTTACAAAATTAATAACTAAATTTTATTATAATTTGTTTTTGAATCAATTTTTTATATTATAAAATTTTTAAATTTAACTTATGATTTATTTTTATTGTAGTTATGGTGTTTTACTCTGGGAATTACTTACTGGAGAAATGCCGTACAAAGGAATTGATGTGCTGGCTGTTGCTTATGGAGTGGCAGTAAACAAACTTACATTACCAATACCCTCAACTTGTCCACAACCATTCAGAGAACTCATGGAGGGTATTTACAAAGATTTATTATTATTCTCTATTAACTTAGTATACCGTGATTTTAATTAATTTTATCATTCATTAGCTTGTTGGCATTCTGACTCTCATATGAGGCCTAGTTTTGAAGACATATTAGCATCGTTGGACGATATTGTACACTCTGCTTTTACTCAAACACCTCACGAATCTTTTCATACTTTGCAGGATGTTTGGAAAGTAGAAATTGAGCAAGTGCTTGACGGATTGCGAATGAAAGAAAAAGTAAGATTATAACTGTCTATAAAATTGTTTTTTATAAATTATATATTATACTATTTTCTTTTCAATGCTTACTTAAGGCTTTTAAATCTAAAGAAGAAGTAAGTTAATGCATAGCTATATTTTGAAAGTAATTATTTAATAATTCTACATTATTATTTGCTTAGGAATTAAGGTGTCGTGAAGAAGAATTAAGTCGAGCTCAGGTACAACAACAAATTGCTGAAAAACATTTAAAACAGAGAGAACGTGATCTAGAAGCACGTGAAATGGAATTGCTCAAATGGGAATTAAATATCATAATGCAACAGCAACAAGCATCGCCAGCAATACCAACTCCCAATAAACGCCGTGGACATTTCAAAAAGTCCAATATTTTAAAGATGTTGAAAAAAGAACCAAACCAGCTGCCTATTAGTTCTCCATCTGGTAATATATTAAATTGCATTAGAAGTTAAAAATAAGGATGTTTATTCTAAATTTTTTACTTCCTGTAGATTTTCGACATACAATAACTGTGCAGCATACCAGCGACAGGAAAAATCGTGATGCGTCTGGTCCAAACAGTCCACCTGGTTCCCCAAATATTCCTAGACTGAGAGCTATTGCACGTAAGTTTAAATAAGTCTGTATTTTGACTAGACAGTAGTAGGAGTATTGCTTGTATTTTAAAATGTTGAACTATATGCATATATTTAAAGTTTGTTTAGATATTTATTAAGCAATTTTTTTAAGTACTTGTTAGATTTTACTATATAATTTTAAAGATTTTGCAATAAATTTTAATGATGTATTTATAGTTGCCTAACTTGGTTATTTGCAAAATATTTTCCTTAACTATTTCAATTTATTGTTGATTTTTTTTTTTTTTATTTATTTAAATTTTGTAGAAAAACAAATCAACATAAAATATTTTTAAGAGCATATTATTCTTTATTTTTAGTTGTTAGATTTGTTTTTTAGATTTATCAACAAAATATTTACTTACTGATAATTTAAAGTTAATTTATAACTTTTGTAATTTTTATGTCACATTCCCTCTCATAGGTATTTATGAAATAATTTTGTATTAAGTCTGAAAAAAAACCAAAACCAATTAAGATATTATTAAACTTAGTTAAAATTATAAATTATATGTATTTTAAAATGTTGGTATATTTTGTATTACTGTTCTTACCAGTAATGACTAAATATGTTGGTTGATTTTGATTTTTGAGAGAAAATTAAAAGATATTAGTTGTGTTTAAGTATCAAAGGAAATAAAAAGTTAAATGAAGTATTGAAGTTTAATTTAAAAACTATATTTTGTAATTAAGTGTAATAACTGATGTATTAGATGTGTTTAAAGTAAAAAACTAATGTTATATCAGATTACTTGTGTTAAAATATTACACTATTGCAGGGAAGCTGAAATTGTGCAAATGAAGGTGTCATGTGTTTAATTACACTTATTATAAAATGTTCAAAACTTGGTTTAATCACCGATATTATGAGATCAATTTATGCATGTATAACAACTGATGATTACTCTGAATAGATTCTTTGATTTTGAAGACAAATATACATGTAGTAAATGACCAAAAAGAAATTTTTCTCAATTCTATAGTGAGGTATGTTCATGACTACTTATGAATGTTCATCAATGTTTTTGGTTGTTTTGTGAGTACCCAGTGTTGGTCAATAAACTTGAATTGATTTTATTTGGTGAAATTTAATTAAAATATAATTTGTATTTATCTGTAGTATTAGGAAAAATTTACTTTTAGTTTTGTTTTTTTTTTTCCATTTACAATTTTCTAGAAACTAAAGTAGAATTGAAAGTTTTGAATGGTAATATAATTTATTTTTAATTCAATTATTGAAAAAGTCACAAATTTATTATGTTTCGCATACAAATTTTTATTTGCTATTTTGTTCTAATTGTTTTAATGTATTAAAGGATTTGCTTTTTATGTCTGTGTTTTCTTGAAAACATTTTTCAGTGTAAAGGAACTTTGTTCGACATTAGATTTATATTTTGGAAAAAAAAAATATTAAAGTTATACATGCTGGTTTCATAAATTTAAATTACCTATATTTTTTTTTGTGTCAAAGAGTTAGAAAAATTTTAAAAATTGTCTCAGAAAATATTTCTATGTATGGTGAAAAATGTTATATGTTGAGTTGTGATTTTGTGATGTTTTAACAAAGTTTAAAAATCTAAATAGTAAAGTTTGTCTATTATGATAGAATGTACATGACTGGCCCACTATGCTCGTATTCCTTTATATAAATGATTTCAGTGCCAGCAGATGGAGTCAAGGGCAAAACATGGGGCCCTAGTACGTTTCACCAACGTGAGCGGGTACAAATTATATGTGGAAGTCCATCTTACCCATCGTCACCAGCCACAACGTCATTTAAAGGATGGTCTCGATCAGCACCTAATCTGGAAAAACATCAGTTGTCGGTTCGCTCAAACTTTGCGGCTTTACAAGAAATAGGTACCCGTGACAAGGATGATGATGATGATGCTGAGACCATAAGTCTATAATATTCATTTTTGCATCCCCTACATACTATAATAACCCTTTAACCCCTTTACACAAATCATTTCTTGGTGGTGGAATACAGTAAAAACAGAATAATGTAATATATATTGCATTATATATATATTTATAAATGATTAAAAACTTGACGGTTCTGGTTCTAAGGTCATTTTTTTTAAAAATTGTTATTAATTTGTTACAAATTTATTATTATTAATTTTATTTCAAAATGAAGCTTATAATAGTTTTGTGCTTTAAGCACTGCTTGACTGTTGATTTGTTTATTTTTATTATTTTAACTTAATATCTTTTAAAGATATAAAGAGCACACATTCCAGTTTGCACATCACAAAAATTGTATTCTGTATATCTTTAGACTTAAGCCAATGGCTGTTATTATTATTATTATTATTATTATTTATTATTATTATTATTATAATTATTTTTATTATTATTATTATTATTATTTTAATTTGTACCTATTGCCCGAGATATTAGGCACACACACACATACACACCTCCCTCACTAAAAACACATTTTGCTCCTCCCATTTAATTAAAGTTGTTTATTTTTAACCTTTATCGTAGTGATTTTTTTTTTTTTAATTAGTTTTAAGAAATTTATTTTTTGACAAATTTTCAAAATTTATCATTAGTATTTTTATAAATAATTATTTAGATTACTATTTGTGTATAATATTTATACTGGGATTATGCAAAATGAATTAATAAAAAAATGTTCAGTGAAACGAGTCTTAGCAAGAATTATTTCAAACTTTCGTCAAAATGAATTAGGTTATTATGATAATATTGTTATATTTATGTATTAATTATTGTATGGGGTAAGTATAAACGACATTGTTATTGTTATAGATTTCAGTTGCATAGCGTTATTCTTTTGTACGAACTAGTATAATATTTTAATATATTATAATGTATCGGTGTATCGTAATTAGATTGATACGCGCAATAGTTTAGAGCATTGTAGATCGTGCATGTTTCATTTCGTTGATAAGTAGACACTACAATTTATTTGGTAAGCATGTGTGAACAGAGTACATATACTTTATAATCAATAATCTCAATTTCTCTTAACAAATATCTAACAAAATATAAGTATCAATATAATTTTTTATTCCCGAGCTAGCTGGAAATGTTGAAAACACTAAGAAAATTTCATGAATCATATTATACCTTTAATTTAAAGTTTTATGTATCCACTAACCATCCATAATCATTAACCACGAGATATTACAATATATATTAATCTAGATTTGATTTGTTCGATGATATTGAATTGAGTCCATGCTACTTTTATGTGTTTGATTTGGGTCCAGCTTATTATCTTAATATTTTTGAATTTAGTCCGTATAAATAAAATTTCATAACAGCCTATATAGTTGGTTACACATCATTAGTTAATACTTACTTAGTTTTTATCAAATTATTACGAGTGGAAAATGGAGTGTATGTTTAGATATTCATCCGTAAAATAATTATTTCTCCTCAAATAATTTTTAATATTTTGTTTTATTTCAAAAAAATAATAAGATAAGTATGTATTTGAAATTTTCAAATTATTATTTTCCGTATCTATATTATGATAAAATTTTCAACAAATTTTAACTCTTTGAAATACTTATATGTATGACAAATTTTCAATTTTTTTTGGTATTTTTTTTTTATAACTGTCGATAAAAAACTATTCTTTAGATACAAAGTACCTTTATTTATTATTATTTTTAATATTTTTTAATTAATTGACTCTTTATATTGTGTTATTACAACTAAAGAAAGGGATTCAACTCGAATAACTTAACAATATTGGTCGAACTTAACTTCGATAACCCAAAAGTATTTGCGGGACTCAATTCAATGTTATACGGTTCGGCACGTTCATATTCTTAAAAAAATCATCAGTGACCAAGAAAATATTATTCGAAATGTCAATTCACGAATAAAAAAAAATTATTTTTAAAAAAAAGTAAAAATATTCTTCCTTTGCATACGGCGATCTCGACTAACAGCTTTTTGTACTAATTTTCATAATTCCATTAATATAACAACAATAATAACAATAACAACACGACCAACCATTTTATTAACGAAAATACTATTTAACCATCGGTGATATATCGTTGTAAAACACCCACTTTATCACCACAACTTAGAATCATAACGATATTGTTATTGTTATTACTTATTTAAGTGTATCAGCGAGTTATAAAATTTTTCTTTTTGTCGTTTTCTCCTTGTAGACTACAGCGGTCCACCAATGTCAGCGGCACACTGTTGGCCGGATGACTATGAAGATGACGATGATCTACTTCGAATTCAGCGATCGCGATCATCTGATCGTCACTGGACGAACACACCGTGCGACGGCGGCGGAACCACAGTTGTATCGTCGAAATCGTCGTCATCGACTGCTCCTTCAGCGGTGGCAACTACCAATCATAAGACCACGCCGCTGTTGGAGAGTGTCCTGCGCGCAGCTGCATCTATGTTGGCAGGTCTTGCGTTGGGCGGCGCGGACATCAGGACGTGTACTTCTTCCAGGTAAGATGACGGACGAATATGTTTTGATAAATAATAATGCTGTTTACGGATAATATAATTTCGTGTTGACTATAATACCCAGTAGATGAATTGATGAATAAGTCATCGCGCGTAATAAAAAAATAACGGTTGTCGACTTCATCCCTTATTATTTTAGTTTGCAGTACAAAAATCTAAATGTGTAGTACCCACGAATTTAAAGAATATTTAGCTCATAAAAATTTATTTAAATATTCTAAAAATACTTTTTTATTTCGCTTTATTATGATGGTCTGATATCTATGTTCGTCGTCCATGCGCTCGTATTATGTACTAAATAATTATTTATTACTATACTTGTTTACCTATTTAATTGTAATAGAACTCATATTATCTGCTTAATTTATATGACAATTATTATCAAGTCCACAAAGTGTCGTGGTAGACGTAAATATACATAAAAAAATCTAAAATTAAATAAAAAATTGAATAAAGAAATGGTCACCCTATATGTGGCTTAAATGTATATATTTTAAAATATTGTGATTTGTGAGCTATTGTGGGAGTAATCAAAATAAATAAATTTGCTCGAGTTAATTATTGGTTGACTAATGAAATTGAATATCAATAATAATAGATTTAAATTCGCAATATAATCAATACTTAAAATCTAACCGTGCTATACTAAGCCTAGTCCTATTATCTTGGTTATAGATATTCGAAAATGTCTCTAGTTCAAAACGTTTACAATATCCAATGTCAAATTAAGTAGAAAGGCAATCGTTCCGTGTTGTTACCACTCAACTCTAGAAATATATTTTAAAACAGCCACTATTTTTTATCTGACCAGTGACCACTAATTCTTCATGTAAATTTTTACTTTTCAGTCGTAATGTAGCGCCGACTTCTACCGATACCGCCAATACCACAACTTCCACATCGGACTTAAATTTCTGCCTACACAACTCTTCTGGCCACCGTAAGTATAATTTATGATGAATGCCTGCGTCAGTTATTGTTTTATGTTTTTCTTTAAGTTCAACTTTTCGCTGTATTCACTGTTAGATTAACTACGTCATCAGTATTTTGTCACATGGCAAAGACAATCGGTCTAAACCTATAATGTTAAGTTGGTAAATTAAAAAAAAAAACTTATTCCTAACATCATTAATCAATATTTTTATTTTACATAAAATACTGTAGGTACATGTAATACGATTTAAAAAAAAAATAGTGTTATATGAAGGATATGTAGCAATCTGAAAATGTGTGTGCTTTAATTTCCTATGCATATACTCTGATCTAAAACAACATCTGACGCGTTTTTCGCAGTGGTGTTAATTTGATAAGTAGGTACTGTATGTTTTTAAGATATTATAATTGTCAAATACCTAAAGTATTAGTTTTTTTTTTTACAAACAAATATGCGAATTAATATCTTGTCGCTATGCTAATCTGGTAAACATTTCTTAGAGCTAAGGAAAGACTTCGGTTTATAAAATATTTAAACTGTATTCTTTGTATGATAAAGTTAAACTATAACCCGTTCAGTTCATTGTGATACTTGGGCGACGCACTGATCATAAAATCCATTTAAAAATTAGTATAGCAGCTATTGTCTTAAAACTATATTTTTCTTTTTTCATAATTGTATTAATCAAGTTAGTATTACATTTTGAATTAAAATGTTTTTCAACAAATTTCCTGTTTAGAAAACCGTAGTGGTCTCTTAATGCTAAGATGAATTGAACGGGTCATACTAATTATCTATTTAATAAAAGTCTTGAACTGTCCAGTAATAACCTTCTATTTTTGTTATGTTTTGTTTAAAACAATAAAACGGAACGATTCGAATTTACTCATTTCTGATGGTTTTAAAATTTGTAGTTTGTGCCCACGGAAATTGTTGGTGTTGTACTAGGTACTTCATGGAATTCCATATCTTGAATATAAATATATATCAATACGCTACAATAATATATGAATCGTTTATCATAGAGATTCTGAGTTCGTCGCGTTACACAACTTAGATACCAATTATCGGCGTTGATTTCTCAGTTTTAATTTCTAGAGCATAAACACAATACGTATCATGGCCCTTCGTCTAAGCATTTTCGGTTGCCGTTGCCGCAAAGTTCAGACGTTAAACCTTTGCGATTCACCGACAGTCCACAACACCGGTTGAGCCGTTCTCGGCGGAAATCCAGAACGCCGCCCCGTAGGAAGTCAAGCAGCGTGACCCGGTGCACAGATGACAAGAACCACGTAAGTGTATATCGTTGATGCTTTTCGATCTGGGAATGACTATAGTTACTCAGGTGTTTTTTGTTTTTATTGGGGCATTTAAGTCTTTGAGGAGATAAGGTGAGAGAGCATATAGGCATATAGGCACGTGTAGGAATTTTGATCCATATTTCTCAAATGAACCTTATAGTAAAAAAAGCGCTATACGTTCTATTTTTCTATAGATTTTTTTTTTTTTTTTACAAGTGAAGAATATCTATACAATATTAATTTATTAAAAACCATATTGTTTATTATCGATGCTTCACGAAAATAATATTATGTACCGTAAAAAATAGATTACCATTTAAAAAAAAGTTCTTTACAAATATTAATTATAGTGCTGAATGGATAGAAAAAAAAAACCGAAAAATAACAGTTACTTCGTCAAAAACCCCAAACAAATAATTCCTAAATAATGCGATTAATAATTATTCATATTAGAATCTATGAGTTCAAAATTAATACATGTTTTATATAAATTACTACTTACTGAAATTTTTTTTCGTTCGCATTAATCTCTCTTTGAAAAGGTGTTTAGTATCAACTTATATAATTACTGTAGTGGCTTTACGTACTGGCTGGTAACTGTATTGTATGATAAAGAGATAACTTTTAGTTATAAAAAAATTAAAGACTAATAGTGATTTGAAGTATTATCAAATTATATTTTGCTTAATTTATAATATTATGTTAAATAAATAATATACATCATTGTTGTAATACTATTGAATGTCAATAATTTGATGTTATGAGATATTTATAATGTATCCATTATTGAAAGGAACCAATATAATATAATTATCAATTTAAGATTACAATTGTATCTAATTTGATTTTTGTATTTTCCTTAGCATTCTTTTTACGGTACGACGTCAAGCGACTACTACCAGCAAACGGACTTGTCTCATACTAGTGAGTACCTATTACAATTTACATTTTATTACTTATGCAACTATGATTTTTTCTAAAAAAATTTTTTTTGATCGTCGATCATACAAATATTGTATTCTAATATATACATTATATTTTTATAAAATACAGTGACCATATTAAAAATAAAATAAAAAAAAAACAGTGTGTGTTCGTTGATATAAATATTAAAACATTAACCAAAGATACAACACTAATATGCTTACAGCAACATAATAATAATATATATTATATTTGTTTTTTAAGAATACCTGTATCAAGTATTTATTTTTATTCACGTTATGTAAGCGTACAACTGTCGAAGTTCCAGTGAAATTAGATTTGCTCGACGACGGAGTGCTTACGTATACAATAATATTATTGTAATATTATATTGTATACTGTACAGGATACCGTCAGTGGTCCAGCGACAGGAGTGGATACCGCCAGCTGTCTAATGACCGGTGTGGAGTTACCGGTGTGGGGTACGAGTACGAAAATGGTGGTTTGTATGCGTACGACAATCCGACCGCTAACCACAATGACGCGATTGGAGGTGTCGACGATCCGCCGTCTTTCAGTCGAAGTCGATACCGATGCGGGGGCGGAAATCCGACGTTCACCATGGAGTCCGCCGAAACTTCATCGGCGGTTTCGCATCACTCACAGCGGGCGCCGTCGATTTCGCCATCGCTCCCATATCTACACCAGAGGCGGGTTGGCGATTATTTAAATTACTTCTCAAGAGACGATCGCCTACCACAGCCGCATTTAGTCGAAGCTCCAAACCGACCAACCTCGTTGGAAGTACGTACTTAAATATCAGTACTGTATAATTCACACCGCCGTGTTATTTATTTAATATATAATATTAATGGCAGTGGCACAGGAATTATTTTTCATGTTGGGGAGAATGGGAGAGGATGACAAATACGGAGAGTACATCATTTTTTTTTTGCGTTTTCTAAAATGAAAAACACCTATAAAATATATTTTGTTATTGTTGCTACAATGACAATGTATGTATAATGTACACGGGTAATTAATATGTTAATGTTATGCGAAATAGAGAAATTAAATATAGATACAATAGTAATCACATGAATTATATTTCATAGTTTGTCTACGCGAAGACATTTTTGTTGTTTTAATATTTTCTGTAAAAATAATTAGGAGGTATGTGGTAAATGTGAAATGTAAAGGAGGCTGAAGTAATTTCTTTTTTTTAAGAGTGTAACGTCTCAGTTATTTAAATCAAAATAGGCATATCTTATTATTATCTATGTGTGTTAACATTCTTAGATTCGACCTTGCCCTAACCTAAGTTTTTATACGTGTATCACAGTACCTTAATTAACAAACGAAAATTGAAAATACTGATGGGTACTTCATACTATTTATAAATAATTATTTAATAATTACTGTAAATTATTTCAATTATATAATTATTATAATTCAGCATTAATGCATTATTCGATAAAATATGTCTAATTTTCTACCCTTACGTCTTCTACGCCACTTGTTATACATTTTTAGATAAGTATAGGTTACCTGTAAAAGATGATTTGTGGTGTTATGTTCAGAATGACGAGTTTAATATATAGTATATATTCTGTGTTTTGTTGAGCTCTTGACTACTGAGTGGACTGTAATTTGCTCTATTGAGTTTATTAATTGTCCGTTTCTAGTAACTGTTGGTTTTTGTAAAACGCGTATCTATTGGCCGGGTAGTGTTTCGTACCCATATTTACCAACCTCACGTCGGTAACGCGATGGCATCCAGTAGTGTTTAGAAAAACCAAACATGCCCCGAAGACCCCTGTGGTGCTGGGTAAACCTTACATCACACGGAAAGACCCCAGCGTCGACAGTTGTTGTTGGTCGGTGATCATTGTTACTTTTGGAGAATATCAAGGTTGTCGTTCCGCACTATTTATTCTTTTTGATTTTTTATTCTACTAGCTGGTGTTTTTTTTAAATTTGTTATGATTTATAAAATTATAAGTTATAACCATCACATTTGTGTAAGTAACTTACCCAATACGATACGTGCTGTTTTATTTCATCTTGATATTCAAAATTGTTACGTGCATAATAACGTTATCGTATAATAATCATTTCTAATTGTTACTGAATGGTGATGTGCACGTATGATCACTTAGAATAGATCGATTAGGCGAGCTTACTCATGGTGTGTGTCTTTGGCAATGTCATCAGTCAGACTCGCGTTCCACAAAATACAGATTAGGTCAGATAGTAGCCGCACAGTCGACGGGAGGTTAATAGACCCGTTGTACGTCTCCTGACGTCAAAAGTACCAATACGGAGTGTTTATTCGCGACGATCAGCATGCTAGATTGCTGACGACCAAACTGTCTGAAAAACTCATGTGATATTCAGCAATATTGGCTGAAAGCCCATGATAATTATTATTTTTTACATGATAATTATTGATTATGCTAGTATTAAGAATAACATAACAGCAAAATTAAGCATTGCATATTTTAAACTTAAAAAACATAAATAGTTTGAGTGGTGAAAGCACTTTGTCTCATATTAGAGTAATCTCAGGTAGAGACAAATTTTCATTCGGTTTTGTCTCAGGTAACATCCCACGATTAAATCGGCCAGCACTCGTTTTTGACGATCGGCCATCATGGCTGTAAAATTGCTTTACCGCGTTAATTTTGACAAGATACGAGTTAGGCAGTTGTTGGAATAACAAATAATTTAATGACGCTATTTTTCAGTATTTAGCACTCTATAGCCACACACATTGCTCCGCCGTCGGAGGTTACTCTATATATGATAGAGTTTACGCAGATGTATAAAATATAGTATAGTCCGCGTTTAACCAGATGGATGGCTTTTTTTTTTACAGCCCGGTACGCCGTCGAGGCTGCGGTCCAGCCTAAAGAAAACTGTGTATGGTAGTCGGCAAACGGCTGTTGGTTCGTCGAGTCCCGGAGGTAAGCATATTAATAATAAATTTAAAATTTCACTCATTTGCCTATTGAAAACAATCTTAACTTACAACTAAACATTTATATATTCATTGGTATGTCTCTATAAAAAATAATATGATATAATGTAATGCATAAAACAAAGATACTTTGTATATTTGTTATTTTTAAATAGCGTATCTAAAAAGATACAATATCAAGTTATCAGTACCTAGCGTCCTAGCTTTGCGATTTTTCTTGGAATTTCGTAACGCTACACAAATTCTAGAATCATGATAATTTTGTATAATTGGATTAGTGAGGTGTTCTATTTTTTCACGGTCATATTCCGGTACGGTTTCTCCACCTTATATGTGCCATTTTTAAGTTGATAGACAAATAGACGACGCAGAATCTTTCTAATAACACAACTTACTGTCGCCGTGAATATTTTTTTTATGGAATTGTTTTCTTTAAGTATTTAGTATATATGTCATATTGTTTAATGTGAGAGAAAAACAAGATGTAGAGATATGTAAATAAAAAATCCTTTTTGCGGTTAAAGGTAAATTTATACCACTGCATAATATAAGACGTGTGTTTAGTTGTTTTGTATAAATGATAATAAAATTTCCGACTGGGACTAAAATTTTCCAAACAATTTTATTAGGTATTGCAGGGTGGGTGGTTTGAAGGTTTTAATTCCTCCCCTTACCTTACCGGCGAACGTGTCCGCAGACTAGAGTGATGAAATATAAATTTACGCGAAATAATGATTTGCCCTCATGTCTTTGTAGTGTCGCCGACCAATCCAACGCCACCGGAAAGCTTGACTAGCGACGATAGCAGTTACATGTCGGCGAGGGACAGTTCGGCAGCGTCTATGTCTACAGCTCGAGTTCGGTTTTCGCCAGTTACTTTACTGGACCTGCCCACCCACGGTCAGCACCAGGATTCAACGGTTCCCCTGCAAGCTGCCGCGTCAACTTCGTCGTCATCGTCGGCTCCCAATTCCAGACGATCGTCCTCAGTTTCGGAGTTTATCGCGTGACTCATCAATAACTGTCATAATCGTACTTATTTAATTTTTTAGCGATTTTTACGTTAAAAATGACCGTTTATTTATGGTGTCAGCTGCAGCATTTTATCCACTCTCGCGTAAATATTTTTCTTTTTATATACGTATTTAAATTTATATAATTTTTTTAAATTTATTATTTCTTTAATTTTATATAAAGTATAATATAATATATTTTGTTTTATTCATTATTATTAAGTTTTCGTACGACGAGTTCGTTTCGACTATCAGACATTTCAGTCTTTTTACATATATTATATACGTATATATATATATATATATATATATGTTATCGTCTATACGTTTCCCATTATTATATAATAAGTAAGATCATCTGATTATGACTTATAATTTATGATATCAAAATATAAATTGTGATTTTTTTACGAGTTCAAACTTATTTTTTTACATAGCGAATTAAGTTTTCTGATAAATTTTCGGTTCATTGTAACGGCCATCGTGATAGTATATTTTTTTGTAATCGACGCTTCGAATAGAGTTGATTTTTGTTAAAGATTTTTTGTACGTTTGTTGGCCTCACGACCATTATTTTTATTTTTATATATTTTTTAATGTTTATTATAAATATTATCATTTATGTGTTTTTGCATAATACCTATTTATACACTGAAACAAATATAAAGGATTTGTTTTAGTTATTAATATAATATTATATAGATAATCGTGACATCTGTTAAATATAATGTTTTATTTTATTTTATTTAGTTTTATTTAATTTAACAGTGTTAAAATGTTCTCCAAACCACAGTTAGTTTTTACCATCATTATTATATTATTTTATTAGAAGATAAACATTGATAATATAGGTAATCAATATTGACAGTGCTTTTTAAGTATAAATCTATATTATGTAAACTATTTGAAAAATCTGTTATTAATCTCTGAACTAAATAATCTTTTTTATTATCGTTAGTTAATACGGTAGACCAGAGGTTCCCAAACTATGGATCGCGATCATATTTTTAGTGGATCGTATTATATTTTTAAATAATATATATTTTTTTTAAATATATGGTCATTGAAATCGAAAAAGTATAAAAAAATGTCATCAGATAAAAAACTAGATACAACCATCATGTTATTGTGGGTTGCCAAAATTTAAATTATTTCCAAAATGGGCCATAAAAAGTTTGGGAACTTCTACGCTAGACAATAATCGGTATCAATATTGGTTTCCAAAACAGGTATGGAAAACTTCATCATCATATATTAATAATGTAACTTGAGAATAAAAGGAAGTAGACTGTTAAATACCATATTTAATTTAGTTTGCCCAATTACGCAATATTTCAAAAAAAAAAAAAAAAAATTAATTTAACTTGTACAGTTAAAGAGGTCACACTCATGAATGTACAGTTGTAATATGACGACTGACAGCAGCACGAAATACTATTAACACTAAAATAATTATATAAGGTTATTTATTTGTGTCTTCATCTATAACATAGGTTCTTAACCAGGGGTCCATGGACCCCTTGGGGGTCCGTAGATGGTTACTCGGGGGTCACCCAGAATCAATTTGTTTTAATAGCGTTTTTAAGATAATAATAATTATGTCTAGCCCACATTTATTTAACTAGATACATATATATATTTTATTTTTTTTTGTTGGGGGGGGGGGGGGGGGGGGGTCCGTGATTATATTTTGTACTTAAAAAGGATCCATGGACCAGAAAAGGTTGAGAATCTATGATCTATAATAACTATAAAATAAAAGCGTTTTGCGGTTCTTTATCAATAGTGGACTTAAAACTACATGCATTTATTTCTTTAAACGATGATATGTGTGCAAGAAAACCCTATTTTTTAGTTAAATAATATATTTTATGTTAAAAAAAATGAAACTCGTAACCACGTGACTGTATAAAAAATTTTGAAAAACCCTTGAGTAATAAATGTTCTATTTTTCAATTATTATCTTTTATTGCAGTGAAATGGACCGAAAGTTATTATGTTATTGTACATCAAAAATGTAATTTTTCTATCTTTAGACAAAAGAGCATTTTGTCATTTTGACCATGCTCTAATACTTTCACCCAATCTTAATTTTATAACTAGGATAACCCGGCCAATTCGTAATAAAATCAAAAATTATTATTGAGTTATTCAGTGTAATTATATGCTTATTATAAAAAGGAAGTATTGATCGTAAATCACAATAAAAAAATATTAAGTATAACATTCACGTTTGTATATTATTTATTATTTAAAAGTCTATAAACATACAAAGTGGATTAAAAATCAATTCAATTGCGAACAGAGTAAATGAATATGGAATATTGTCATTAAAATGAAGGTAATAAATTTAACGATACAAAATTATATAATAATAAATATCACAAAATTACCATCAGTAATTACTAATAATAGTAATTCCAAATGTTTTCGTCCGCGTAAACGTATCCATTGCCGAGATCTTCGTCGCCCACGATAACACCGCCTTTTGTATTGACTACACCTCCGATTACGTACGTGTTAGATGTCAACACGTTACCGCGGTTGCTATTCAAACCGCTTGCGGTCGGATGGCGATAATGGCGCAAGGAAGGAACTTCCGGTCGTCGGAATTGATGATCGGACTGGCTGGTATTTTGGTCCTTGTCCGACAATGCAGTAGATTCGGTTGGAGTCGGATCACCTGTGTGAATAACGCGAAAAAAATTTTAACATTATGTGTTTCGCGATTGGTCATTGCGCAATACTCGAACATCATCGTTAAAATATATTATTTCATTATTTTATATTACTATTATTGTAGTGTGTCGATAATTGTCGGTTATCGGAGAAAAATTGACTATATAGATTTCGATTTACGCTTTTGTCGCCAAGTTGTTACCATTCAGTTTACGGTGGCGGAAAAAAACAAGACAATAATATGTTAACATCTAAGTGTATCATAGCCTTAGCGTTCATTATGAAATATGAATTATACCAGTGTTTGTAATCGATGATTTACGGTGTGCGTTCAAAGAAGAAGTAGTGTATAATAAATTTAATTTAGGCTTTACGTTGTGTACCTACGATTGATCAGCGCGCGTTATTATTGTTCAATGCTCAATGATTGTGGTTTGGATTTTGTGACTGTATTGATGGAAATTTAATACTCGCATTCGCGTGGGATCGGTTGGTAATTACGGTAAGGCACGTTCGACCACGTCGCGGACTAGACGCTACTTCGATAAACTGTAGTACCTGCGCGAGTTATATATATATATATATTTAATTAATGTACCTGTATTTACACGATATTTAGATTTTGGCAAAAAGAGTTGTGGCATAACGTCATATTTATAATTTATGTAAGCTAATAATATATTATATGTGCGTAGGGCGTGGTTAATTAATAGGTACTACACGGTGGGTAATTAAAAATTGCAGTGGGGAAATCCAATATAAACGCATAAAACATCGAGCAAATAATATTATCGGTAGATTAGTAGACTGAAAAAAAAAATTGTATACGCTCAGAATTAAGTTTAGGTCGCACAAGAAAATATTTATTTAATAACCAGGATTTTTTTCTTGATCGACCCATTTAAATTATATTACTTTTAGAAAACGCAATTGAGTGTTGTGTATTTATTTTGTATGCTCCTCAGCTCAACTTACTGTGGAATGTAATGACGAACGAATGATTGTTCACAAACAGGCTATTAGTGTAGTAATTAATAGATGACAACAAACACTGCGAATCATATTAATTAGTATGTACTTTCTTACTTTGAATCAAACAAATAAATTAGGACGCGTTTACCGCGCGTGAAAATTATAGCTGTAGGCTGTACAATGGCAGCGACAATAATACTCATATTTTAAACCCAAACATATTATGTATGTCATACTCTCTATAAACGGTCGACTATTAAGTAGAAACCTATTCTACTGTTACTCACACGAGGTTTTGTGCTTTTTGAATTTAAATAGAACCGTTTCAATTATAACAATATCTCTATGTCTTAAGGCAGGTCATAAATAAATTCGTTTACCGGCAACGGTGAATATTAAAAGCACAAACATAATGATTATGTTCTATAAAACCATAAAATGTTATTATGTTCAAAAATAGTAAAGAAATTAATTTTTTTATCTCATTCATTAATATCGATTAGCGACTGTACCACTCGACTCTGTTGTCAGTAAGTTGGGAACGCGGATGAATGCAATTCTATGGTAAGTACCAAGTATTACCTATGAAAATTTGAGTTAAATTAAAAATTTTTTGAAGGAATTTAATACAGAAGATTTTTATTTGTAAAATTTAAGATTTGATTGACGATTAAACTATAAAGATAATTACCAAAAAGTTGATTTTAACACACTGTCTAAATAATTCAAACGTTTAGAAATTTTGGGTCCAAAACTGATTAAAACTATAAAATTTAGGTTGATTTTCAAAACAAAATTTAAAAATAAAAATTTAAAATTGATATAGCTATATTGATTGTATACAAACAAAAAACGGTGTTCAATAAAAATATTAGATTTGCAACATTAAATAAAATATCAAAAATAATCTAAATAACTGAACGAGACATGGTTGATCTCCCCAATACTTTCAATATTAAATATTGAATAATAATTTAAATTTTTGGTTTTTAGGTAATTAAAAGTCTAACCTTAATCACTACTACTGATACTAATGTATTTACATAAAAAACCACGTTGTATTTAAGTACGCCGGTCGTGATGTAATTGGTGATGTAAAATGGTAGTAGAAACTAGAAATGGTATGAAAGTTTTGTATTACATCATTAATTTAGGTAAGAAATTAGGATTTCTCCTGATAATGTCCCTATTTTAACGAACACTAATGATATATTTAACTACGTTTTGGGGCCCTACACTAGGACCACAACCGGCACAACCACAACTATACTCATTAGAATAATTGATTAAGATACCCGACTAATTTCATCTGTTTATTAAATACTAGGCTATGATATTGTTTATTTTATAACCAAATTTATTGACGATTTAAATAATTCCTCTCGTGACCGGAATGACCATTTATAACAAATGGACGGGTAAGAAATCAGAGCTAGGTATTTTATTATTGAATAGGAAGCTTGCATAATAAACATGGTGGTTTGACTCATTAGTTGTCCGTAATTTCGATCACGGAGCTTTGGTGGCGTTTGTTGTAAATATTGTAATATAAAGTTTAAAATTATATTTAAAATCTATGATACGGATTTTTATACGTTTTATTAAAAATATTTTAAATGTATAGTTTCTTTACTACTACGTCTGTTAAAGGATGATTTAAAAATATTTATTGTTGCAATAGTGTTCCGTACAAAAATTTTTCATTTCTATTCAGGAAAGAAAATATTACCGTATAGAATATTATACAAAACGTTCTGTTCATATTTACTTTCAAAAGTAATTTCGAAAAATGCAAAGATTTCATTTCTATTCAACATGAATTTGAAATATTAAAAGTAATATCAACAGATTTTTATTCAACAACGGCAACAAGTTTTATCAAAATGATTGAAAAATGATGGGAAAAGAAAAAATACTAAGATATTCTGCCATAAGCTAATAGTATTTAATTTTAATTATCAATTAATATTAAATGCATCTGTTAACCGTTAAACGTGTTGCTACTAATGCTACTAATAAATGGATATTTATCATATTTACAATTATCAAATATTGCTTGAGGTCAACAATGAATGACTATAGATTTTATTCACTAATGTTTTGAGTACTTATTGATAATGGTGTTTTGGGTAATTTAGATATAAATAAAATAGTTACAGTGTTATACAGTGGTCTAATTAAAAAAAAAAAAAGAATCCAATTCTGAGAATGATATACACTATACAGTATTCACTATTTAGTAGTAAATTTAAATGAATTGTATTAGTTAAAAAAAAAATAATAATAAAAATAATAACACGGAGTTTATAAAACGTAATAAAAGTATTTTATTTCTAATTTTTTTTTAAAAAGTTATGATGTTTTAGAATGTATTTGAATTGTTATTAGACCAATCGATATTGATTTTAAATTTTATGTATCATCAAAAATTCAATTAGTTTGTTTTGAAATCGCGCGTATAATGAAATCATTTAAACAACCATTTGTAAATCTTACTCTTTACTTCTTGAAAGTGCTTTGTTTGTCCCTATAATTTTATTTTTTCTTAATTTATTATAAATATATATAAATTATATTTTTAGCTTTAAATTTAATATTTAAATATCAGTTATTAAATTAAGATCATTAACATGTCTAATCATAAATTAAAATCAAATAAAGTTATTGTTTTTTTTTACATACAAACACAACTTTTAAGCTTACTTGATTTTAGATTTTCACTTAGTCTAGGCTTGAAAACGTGTTAAACAGTTTGTAACATACCTATGCATTCTATTCCTATTTCCTTTTAATAAGCTAGATTTTAAGTGAACTAAGAAATTAAACATATATTCATATTTTTTGCAATTTTATTTTTAATATTATTTGAATATATTACGTATTTTATTAACTTACGTTTACTATTCTGCTCAATAGATTTTGCCATTTCAAAATCATCCATGATTACTATGTTTTTATATGCGTCGAATGAATACATCATGTCGATTTCGAAAGATAATGATTCATCTAAAAAGTACAATATATGCTTAGTTTTCAATTAATTAAAATTTTGCATTTTTAATAAAGGTATTCTATGATAATAAAACACATCTGATAGATGTTTATATTTACTAAGGTATAGTTATGAGATTAATTTATAATTTATAATTATGCTAAACAAACAATACATTAAACATTTTAAAGATACAAATTGCCATTGCATACTACAGACTGTCCAACGAGAGTATATGATAATCCTGCTCATCCCCATGCAACACCCTGCCATCAACATAGGTTCCACTATAGCAGGGTATCGCGTGGGGGGAGTACGGAAGAACCAATTTTTTATAGGCCACTGTTTGTTCTCTCGCTGAATAGAATATAGGTATTAAATTACTAGTATCTAAAAAATACAAATTTCCTCTTATTATGATACTAAACAGAAATACAAATATGGTAATATACATTAATGGACTTCCGTGATATAAGTGACGATAGATAATAATTATGTTGATTTATCGATTCAACTAAAATATTTTATAGTTATAAAAAAAACTATGTTTATTTAGTGCCATTGAAATTCAAATTTCAAAAGTTTTTGAAATGCGTAAAGGTAAACGTTGATATAAGATTAAGAATTATAAATACATTTTATAAAATTGATGTGTTTTTTAATTCCCAACTCATTTAAAGTTCAAAACTAATTGCACTAAAACGTTAAATAAATATTTATAAAGAATACAATAGTTTAAAAATACTATCAAAATATGCAAAATTTACTTACCTATTTACTAATTTCAAAAAAAGGAAATCTGTTGCAATAGTGGTATGAGTTATTGGGTAAAAAAAATTAATTGTAATTCTAGACGTGTAGCCAGGACATTTTTTAAAGGGGTGTTTTAATTTATTATTATGTATAACTTGGAGAAAGGGGTTTTTTTCATATCCATTATGGGATAACAAGGTCATATTAATAAATTGTAAAAAATGTTCTTCAAACAAAATATATTTTTATGTAATATTATATAATGATACAAATGTTAAAAGTATTTATATCAGTCTAATGCGGTGACCCTGTCTTGTCAAATCTTCAGAAAATAAGCTCATCTATAATTGTATCCACGGTTCACAACGTTATTTATTAATATTTATAATAGTAGCTGTTAGTTATATATTTTGTAAAAACCTGAATCTTTTTTATGCATAAAATATATTTTTGAAACATAAATTTAAATAGCCGAGGGGATGTTTTAACACACAAATACCCCCCTTCCAGGCTACACATCTAGGTGAGTCATATTGAAATGGCACTGAGTTTTTTTTCTTGTATAACATGTAAATATATTTCTTTTTCAAACTTAAGCAACGTACAAAATTATACACACGGCATCAGTTATGTAATTATGTGCTTCTAAGCAATCATAATTAAATATTTATTTAATAAAATAAATAATTATGACTTTTAGCTATAAGTAATTTATTAATATAATCATGTAAGACAAAAATTAAATATTTAATTATAATATAATAAAATGACCTATAGTCGGATCATAAGAACAATAGATAAAACACACACACACATAGGATATTAATTATAAAAAAGCCGGTCACCGCCGATCACCGCCGGTCACACATAGTGTCCTATGTCTCTTTGTATAGACGATCACAAGCAAGAGTAAAAGACTATGCAGATCGTATATACAAGGAGACATAAGCATTGAAGGTTGTTAACAGTAAAAATTAAAAATATATCATGTATTAAAAAATTTTGTAATTAAGTTAAAAAGTTTAATCAAATAAAATAAGTATTGTAATTTCTTAACGCATACCGGTTACCTTCAAGACGTCAATAGAGAAAACATTGTCAGAAAGAAGAAAAAGGTAATACATAATACTATATATATATAAGCCCTTTTCAAATTATTACAGTTAATTTTAACAACGTTCTATCTTATTGGACATGTTATTTAAAATAATTGTTAATTCTAAAATTATAAATAATTAAAATTACCATGTTCCTCCAAAAGTTTTCTGAGCAGTAATGGAATAGTTTCCGGTGGTGTTGGTAGTGCTTTTTTTCGGTTTTACTGATGCAAGGCAACTCGATTTAGTATGAATGATTTCTATAACATTTTAATTGAATATATAGTATTATAGTTTGATAAATTATTTAATCTTAATACATAATCGCTTTAGATGTTATTTTATTATATTTTATTATTCGAGAAATACGCTTTCTATATGTATGTAATAATAATATACTAAATAAATATATATATAATATATATAACTAAATAAAATGTGCTTTAGCTACCGATAGATCCAAACCATCTAAAAGTTATACAAGTTTTGTTAGTATTTTACAGTTATGGATCTATTCTTAAACTGTTTTTTCCTGTATATTTTTTGATTAAAAATCTTTGAGAGAAAAAAATATTGTAAATTAAAAGTTTCATAATAATTATTCTTTCGTGGTTTCTGACTATTTGGTTGTCTAATGCAATCTTTTATTGTAAGGAAAACAAGTAACAGTTTTCCATATAAAATATACCTAAAGGTGTATCTATAAGCTGTATGTGCGAATCCGTACGCAGGATTTTTCCATGGAGGGTGCTATGAAAAAAATTAGTATTATAAAAAAGTATTATGTTTATATTAATTTTTTAGTAAGTATATGAAAAATATGAAAAATGTTTATTAATCATAATTTTTCGATTATATATTATATTATTTCAGGAGTTCTTGAAGAAGTTAACTTCCTTTCAATTCAATAAAATCAATAGCCTAGATGCTCAAAAAAAATGGTAATGGTGAGACATTGGACCCCTCCCTCCCGTTCATTAGTTATAATTTGGATAAGATGTTCATTTATACTCGTATTTGAATTTCATTTCGTTTACGCTTCGATAAAGTGCATTCTGGTAACAATGTATAATATTTTAGATTTAAACATAATTTTAGCATGTACAATATTTTTTGCTGCCAATCGTGAATTTTATTTTAGGTGTGTTTGTGACTGACATTATTTAAGGTAGTTATATGTGATTAACGGTGGACATGATGTGAGAGCTCTGCCTACAGTAATCTTACAAGTAATAACATTAGTGTTCAGGTGTACACGATCTACAGATTCATCGCATATATAAATATAAAATACATAAAATTACATTTATACATGGGTAATTTATTTAACAGCGATCATTAATATGTCTTTGATTTTCTATTTTAAATGTAATGCTTTTCTAGTACTGAATTATTACTATCGTATTGTAATTAATGATGTAGCATCATAAAGAAACGCTGATGCCTATATTGTATTTGTAGGCGCGATACGATTGCGCGCGGTCCTTATTAGGTAATACCTTTTTAGGCATGCGGTTGCACGCGCTAAAATATTTTTATCTTAAAGCAACGTTGTGACTAATGACTATACCTATTTACTGTTAATTGTGTTCATGTTTCAACTGTGTTACAATGTTAAATTTTATAGTTATTTTTTTAAATTATATTTGTATTATATTAAAGTATTTGTCTATGTATTTAAATATTAAAAATAATTATGATATAACTTAATATTTATTTAATTAAAAATTTGGCAACTTTGCACCCTGTTTCGCGCGCAATTTTACTCCGCCGGTATAAGTGACGCACACTAACAGTATTCAATGATTGTGTAGGAATTTATAATCAAATTATCAAAGTATCTAATTTTGTTTTTCAGAAGTTTATATTGTTCAGAATATTTTGCACTCAAATTTTAGTTTAGAAATCAATAAAAATTTAACAATTATCGCATTAACATTTTTTAAACGATGATTATAATGGCATTAGAACATAACTAAAACACTTTTTGTCTAAATATTATAATCGTTTACCAAGTTAAAAATTCCTGTCATTAAATGAATATTAAATATTAATGCGATTTTAGTTTAATCGTAGTTTATAAAAATATGTTTTACGATAATGATTGAAACACAAAATATTTTTACCGGCGATGACCAAATATATCAGTCCGACCGTCTGTATTCATATTTTAATTCATATTTGTGGGTAATTACAGGACAAACTCGGGAAATTATTAGATTTTTATAAACCGTAAATTTAATATTGTTAAAGCGTAGTTTTTAGTACACTAAAGGAAAAATATTAAAATTTGAAATTTTGGCGGTATGATCCACTTAATATTGACTTGATGTGTACCTAGGGTAATGCTCATTACACCGAGATAAACGTGGGTTTTAAAATAAAATTGTTATCATGTTAAAACGAACTTCGGTTATAAAAACTTTTTAATTTGTACAGATAGCATTCAAAATATCATAAAATTTTCTACTATTTTCCGCTGAAAAATATAAATTATTTAAAAAAAATAAACTTTAGTATGTGTATTTGTTATTTGCCAACAAGTATTTCAACATTTTAAAGATTTTACAATTGACGTAATCATTTTGTTACGAGTACAATAGTATTAAGCAAAATATATTTTGTATTATGTATAAAAAACTTTTAATACACACTTGTGCAGTATTGCGATAGGTAGGTATAATAATAATAAATAAATTTTTATAAACCTAAAACTTTTATACTATATCTAATAATAATTATTAATTATTATAGTATTAATTTACATTATTTCTTATAAGACGATGCGAATTTAAAAGACAAATTTATAAATTGTAATATTGACTATTGTATAATATAGTAATAACTGTATTAAAATACTATATAATACGTCCATATAGCAGGGCTTAAAGTGGGAAAAATTCCTGGAGAGACTTATGTCTTATTATAGTTTTAAGCGTTCTATTTATCATTTTATGTATAATTTATAATACATATAGTATGTGTAATGTATAAACGGCGTTTGTATAACATACTCATACAACTTTTAACCATGAATAAAGTTCGAAATTGTAATTAACTTCATGGAAAATTTAAATCACAAACAATACTTTATTAACAATAATTAATATTTTATATAAATTGTGTTGTATGCAGGGGTTGTCTTTTAAGGAAACTAAAGGAATCAGCTAGACAAAAAATATTTATATCGTAAAAATATAGTATTTTACTTTTCAATGCTTTAAATTTTACAAGAAAAATTCAAATTCTATATATAGCGGAGTGAGAATGTTAAAAAATCACACATTCACACTCTACCTATATATATATAAATTTTATATTAATGTATTAAGTTCAATTTTACAAATCATTATGTAATCGGCTAATCGAATACCTATTAATCACAGTATAGCCATTTAAAATAACTAATAAAATCAATTATTTTTAAATGTTTATTAGATAGTGAAGATAGTTTATGATTTGTATTAAATACATTTTATAAATGTAAAGTAATTATTGATAAAAAAAAATAAAATCTAGATTTAAACCCAATGGAATTTTGAATTATATAAACTAATGTTAGATTAAAATTGGAGCGTTTCAGCGTTCCGTACGCATAATTTGTTTTGAAGGACGTTTTTTAATCACCATTAAAGGTAAGGGAACCTTGTTGTCCTACACTCCTCCCACTTTAACCCCTAGGTTGTATGGGTGATTGTAAATGGCGCATACAGTGAACAGGTAGCAAAACTAGTATGGTAAATTGCGCCCGGCATTTATCAGGTACATTCGAACTTAGTTATCTCGAACTATTTTAACTCGAAATCGTCGATACCTCGTACTTTTTCTCCAGTTCCTAGAATTTTCTATTTAAACAATGTAAACAAATCTTGTTTTGGTAGATAGCTCTAAGTTTTGAATTTTATTAGTATTATAAAATTATGATGTTTCCTTTATGTGCCTTTATGTATATTTTATAATAGAAAATAACTCATTAGTCATTAATGTTATCTTTACCGATAAATGGTTTAGAATGATTCACTACAAACGTTGCGATCAACAGCAAACCTCAAACAAAAATAAATACTTTTTTAAAATCATTTTCTAGCTTCATTTTTATTTATATACATATATAGTAAATATTTTTTATTACATTACTTTATTTATAATAAATACATAAGAATTAATATATTTTGTACTATTTTAAAAATTTTTAATTTGAATAACTCGAACTTTTTTCCGGTCCCTTCAACTTCGTGTTAACCAAGTTTGACTGTATAAAGTTCTATGTATTAAATTGCACTTATAGTATCTAAGTGATCTTGAATTCATCGATAACTGTTTTTATCAATTTTTTACATTTATTCGTTTATCGTTTGGTTTTTACACCAATAAATGTACAAAAGTATTTTAAATTGTTATGATATTAGGTATACAATAACTTTTACACATATTACGACTACTAATAATTTAGTACGGTTTTTTCGTATCACAGGAAAACATTGATATATGAACTGTATTTAGCCAGAAAGAAAATGAAATTATAATCTACGAAAATTATATATTTACTAATTTATTTATTTCATGCAAACTAAGTAACAAACAACTTTTCGGTGGACAGTGATAGTCGTCTTTTCGTGATGTTCTCTACAGGATAATGTCAAATTTACTACATAGAAATTTATACCTGAAAAATACTTGGTGCAATTTACGTTTGTCTGGTTGTATATATGGTGGTTAAATAGTGACTAAATTCTGGTTTGTGGCTAAAACTGACGATTACAACGAAGGCAATAAGACTGGCGGTTTGAGTAAATCGTAATAAAAATAGAATTCGGGCGCTTACGAATTTGTGTCTAACAAAGCCATAATGGGTGAAATCTACTGCTGTTAATCGGGGAAAATCGGATATTGTGTCCGACGTCTTGTAGGTAAGAACGACCGCATTTTCGAATTCATTTTTTGTTACAATAATATTGTCAAATAAACTAACTAAATATTTTAATAGAATTAAATAAATAATACATTAATTTGAAATTAAGTACAAATGTTTAAATAAATAAATTTAATTTTAAATATTTTAGGTAGAGCACGTGCCCGCGTGCCTCATTTCGAGATGCCACTGATTCCTTATCCTTCTTGTGTGCATGTGTATTTATATTAGATATTGCATGAGTATCTATTGTATAATTGTAATTAAAAGAGAAGATTTAAAATATTATATACGTACATAAAAATTAATATCAACTATTTATACATTAGTAATTTTAGTAAAACTTAAATTATGTTTTACAATTTGTTTGTATGGTTGGTTTTTTAATAAACACGAAGAAATGTTATAAAAAATATGTTTTAAAGTAAAGTTTTAATACGGATTTTGAATGATGATACGGTTTCAACATCATGTCGAGCCTCCGTCAAAATGTAAACGATTAGCTATTTCAATATCGCTTCTACTATAATATGTTCTATGGCTACGACATGGCCGCCACCGACCACTAGGTTGTTAGCATGCCATGTATTGCTTTGTTGTGCAATTCCTTATATACCACCCATCGACTACAATGGCGAATTCCATATCGGTTTTATTTTATTTTATTTTAGATTCTATACAAATTTCAACTCATTAAAATGCATTTAACCAACATAAACCAACGTGCATATCCGGTTATAAATATTAAAAAATAAAAACCTAATAGGTTGACTTCACAAATAATAAAATATATTTTAATCATTTAAAATTAATAAAAATAATATCATATCCACTTGTCTTGTATCAGTCTTAGAAACGTACAATATTAGTCTATTATAATTCTTATACGTATAAATAAATGTTACGTGTTGTACCTACATAGTTTTATTAGGAATGTTTTATTCGTGCATTACGAGCATTTTAAATTTTAATGTGTTACATATTTAACTTATTAATTAAATTCACTATAACATAAAAACCTATTGCAAAAACAAAGATAATTTTTAAGTTTTATAATAATAATCAATTTACTCTAATATTTAGATAGCAATATATAATTCATTTCATTGAGCTCCCTATTTTGTTCCTACGTTTGTTAGATTTTAAATATAAAAATAATTAATTAAATTACTATTTAATAAAATGTAAAGGTTAAGGTTAGGCCAATTAAAAATATCGCATCACAATAAGGCGTACATTTTTAAATGAAAATATTATTTATGAAACAAAACTAGATAGGTTTAACTGACATTGAATTCTACCGATTACAACTATATAAACCCATTTTTTCATTGTAAATTTTGCCACCTGTAACTAATGTTGGTGTCTTTTAATTGTCAGTATTTAAGGTTATTAGGTTATTGTTTATGCTCTTTAATATAATGTCATGTTAATTTTGAAATTGTGTGATAATTAATGTGACTCTATACTAAAATTAGTTATAAAAGGTGAAGTTAACATTTTTTTTTATAGGTAAAATAATGTACTGGTAAAATTTACATGTATTGAAAATTAACTGCGTAATAATTGATGAAACATACAATCCGTCTAGGTAATATTAGTGCTTATTTCGACTGATAATTCGTATATGAGATACAAGAAATACGCTCTGATTTAGTGTGCATTAAACCTTTTTTTATATGAATAGTTTTTCACAAAATAGGTAAATACCGTGCTCAAAAAAAATATACCAACAAAATGAATGAATTATTGGAAACAATAAAAATTATTGGTTTTATTTTTAAACGATAAATATCATACATTCATTAAAATGTTTACCAGGTACTTAATAATTAAATTCAAGTACTAAATTTTTTAATTATCAACTAAAAGCATTGATTTTAGAATATTTTTTGTATATTTTAAAATTAATGGTAAAACCAATATTTTCACCAGAGGGGCTTATTGTTTAGTAGCAAATGTTAGACTTATTGTAATGTTATAATAAACTTACGAAGATTGTCAGTAGATTTCTTTCCAGCTACTTTAAGATTTTTTTTTTTTCAAGCCACCTTTCTTATGATAGTTCAGTATATGGCCATCCAATCCGGACCTCAAGTTATAGTTACGGGCACACAAAAGACACTCAAACGTTCCTATAAAAAATAATTTAAAGGATGAAGATAAAAATTATAACACGTGAAAACGTAACAGACGTAGTAATACACGTCGTAATATTATTGTATTATATTGTATACATTACCTCCACGCATATTCATGTTGTAGATCGATCGTCAATAATAAATTATTGCCGAGTGATATGGAGATGGAGGTGCTGTATTGCAGTTGTAGCCGGCGACGGACGGACAACAAATACGGTCTGAATCCCGTGACAAAATGAAGTAGGCACTTATAGGTTATAACATTAAGAACTCATCAAAATGCTTACTCCCCCACCAAACAGTGCTATAGATAAAATTACTCAGATCATGTTAACATGCCTTACTGGACACACATTTTTTTTTTTTTTTGTTTGGGTGTGGGTCCCTATAATTGTACAATCTGGAATCCCACTGTTGTGCTTTTCATTTATGTTCCAGATAAACTCTGGCCTTTCTGGTGCGCACCACATTCACGCGTTCAAACAATTTATTCAATGCTGACATTGAATATGTATGTCATGTGGCGATATTGTCGTTCTTTGCAGACCCAGATCAGTCGGATTATTTTCCATGCCTTTTTATGTAAGAAAAATGTTGAGTTTTGTCTACAATCGGCGCCATGATTGTTAGATTTTTCAATAGGCATAATTTACATGTAGAACCCCGTGGCCAGACCGAAACCGTCGCAGTGGTAGGTAGTCGAACCTTAAGTCGTCCTATTCATCGGAAGGTTACGCACGCTGACCCTCACAGATCCACATTATATGACACTATCGGTCCAAACTGGTTTTAGGCATCCATTATACATTTCATTTTCTACCCTCGTATATTTATTGTTATTTTATCGTTGGTATAATATTATTGATCTCTTTATGTTGACACGTTCTCGTGACGTTTAACTGTGTAAAGGAAAATCAATATTTCACACCGATATTCTATAGTCTATACCATCATCGTTATTATATTATATACAATTCCCCGGAGTCGTTTAATAAAAAAACTAATCTTTAAAATAACCTCACTAAAACTGTATAGTTGTAAAAAAATTATTTCTTTATCTATTTGTTATTCGATTTCGTATATTTTGTATATCACTCATTTCATAAAATGTGAATAGATTATTGGGCATTGAGTTTTATATGAACGGAGATAATACTATTATTAAAGTAAAACCTGTTAAAGCTAGGACCTTATAATTTTTCCATTTCATACAGGTTTTCAGAAACAATGTTTAATTTTAATAGATGGTTGGTTTGTTGAAATGTATTGTAAAGATGAACTAATATGCATACCTTTTACAAGGCTTTAGATATTTAAATTATATAACTTAAATTTTATTGGTATATATTTATTGCTGTACGTATTTATACTAGTTAACAGTAAATATTTGCAACACTGCGTGCAATTATTCAAGAAAGTCAAATTTCGTGCATTCACACGAGCCGTCGGCACGGTAAGGTCCTCCTGGTTTGATCAAGTATGTTGTGATTGGTCGTTAGTGTCGACCACTACCATTATTCGTCGCGTCGAAGGGTCGAAGGTCATCGTCGTGCATACAGATAGTCATAAAAACATCATTATATGATTGATATGTTGTAATATTAGGTAGTGAACGGTCGCAATTATATTTTTATATTTATTATTGGGAATAATGAATTCATAAATAATTTCAATACATATTATTAGCGTAAATCGTTCGAGCAGTAGTACCGTGAAAAAATGTATAATATTGTAGTTCACTACGTATTTTTGCACGTCGATGGCGGCACTATACGGTAGATATTAGTGTGCACTGCAGTGGTGAGAGACATGCGTGAACGCAGCCATTCGCCGAACGAATAAGCATTCTTAAACTGAATAGAGTAATTAGAGTTATTAATATAGTTAGGCACTTCCTAAATCCACAAATGTATGTTTTTAAAAGTTGTTTTTAATGATTCTTATAAATTGTGTATTTATTTATTTTTAATAATGAAATTAGAACCATTTGAATATTTTTTTCCTTCTATATAATCTTTTAGTCATAACGCATTTCTTCAAAATTTCTGAATGCCTTTTACAAACACGTTTCTTCGTCTGGAATTTCAATAGTATATATATATATATTTTATACAACTATCCATTGATATTATTTATATGGTTGGGACACAAAAAACCCCAAGACACTTCATATGCACTACCTGGTCCTTTATATAATAACATACAACATCCATTAAAGTACATATTCGATCAAGTATTTGTGATTTACTGATCTATACAAAACACTTGACAGCTATCGTTTTATGGGCAAGAAGTATAAATTAAGATTAACACATTTTTGGAAACCTTTGTATTAATGGATAACAAAAGAACGGAGTTCCGTTTATGTTGTCATTGAGATACACGGGTGTCCCTTAGACGGGCGGCTTTCACTTGGGCAAATGACCCAAAATAAAATATCGTTTGAGAGAATTTACACAGACCCCTAATTTATCGATTATATTGTTTGGGCAAACTTATATATAAATATATGTTTGTGAAATTTATATTATAGACTGATCCTTCCCATTTTTTAAAGATTTGGGATTTTTATTTAACTGTAACTGGTATGGTTAAAAATAAATTTTATTGTTATACAATTTATTATGCTATATTTATTATCTGAGCTAATTTTTATATTAGTATTGTGGCGATACAGTGTTATCACCATCATACCTATGTTTTATTGCAATTATTATATTGTGTTATGTTTTTCATTTGTAACCCTCCTCTCGAACACGACTCGCCAGCGGTGCTAACGACGTCTTGAGCCACGACTGCCTCGTTCATTTGAATTTTATGCACTCGTTCCCAACGACCTCTGTACGACCGGACGTTCGCAAACCGTTCCGTCTTGAACACGCGTTCGCGCCGTATATTATTCCGCGCCTGACCGGCTACCATATATGCTTCTCGACCCACGACATCTTTTTTTGTTTCATTTTATACTTATTTTGTGTGCGAATTATTATTCGCTTTTCTATTATTATGTATAATATTACGTATCTCGTAAAATTCTGTCTCTTTATTTGTATTTTTTCCCGAACTCTTTTACAAATCGGCGATTCAGTTTCGTATGTTTACAAACAAATAATTATTTTTCATATTCTTCAGATTATATAGTCTTACGTCTTGATTTTTTTTTGGCGAAGTTTTCAATGATGTCGTCATATGATAACTGATTAGTTAATTCATGTTCAATACTTAGTATAGCAAGTGCATTTAATCGATCCTGTGACATCGTAGATCGGAGATAATTTTTTATTCTTTTTAATTCCACGGCCTATTTGCCGTGCCGTTACCGCAAAAAATTTTTGCCCGGTCGACTATTGTAATATATATATTGTTATTTGTCATATATTTCTGTTACACTCTGCATACCATTTTAGAACCTACACATATATTTTCTTATATTTCATATCTAATAATATTATTTCATAAATTATATTATTGCATGTTTTTATATTTTATATTTAAAAATAATATCTCAACGTAGTTTTTGGATCACACCAAGAAAAAAGTATGCCACCCTTTAAAATTTGCCGCCCTAGGCTTTAGCCTACACAGCCTAAGTAGTAATACGACCCTGCGTATGTTGGTCGATTGTCCTCGTGCGAGACGTAGGGGAAATTGGTTTATATCGCCTACGTCCTCCACGACAATCGTCTTACAAAATGATATCTTATATCCATCTGTTTAACATAATTGATTATTTTTAATTTTCCGGTTTGATATAACATGATTTTAATGCATATTCTTGTTTTTTTTTTAGTATTATTATGTAATTTATTTATTATCTTGTTTATTAATATAATTCATTTATAGTAAAGTTTCTGTTTAAATTTCTTTTAAAATATTAATTACTTAATAAGTATTAGGATGTGAATAATGATAAAATTATGAGTTATAATTACTGTGAAACGATTCAACCCCCTTTGTAGTACGAGGTTCGTTAGTTGGTTATTTAACCCACAGCTAAGGTGGTGAATGATATATATAATATATATCAAAAAAGTTAATTATTTTATTATGAATACTTATGAGTTAACATTTAATTTAAAAATTAAATTATATAAGGCCATCATAATTACATATATTTATTAGATAACATTTTAACTTAAAATATAATTCAAATTATATGTATTAAAATAGATCATTATAATTCACATTTAAGTTAATTTAAATAATCTTTAGAATTAACTCAATAAATTAAATAGTTGTATCACATTCAATTATTAAAACATAAAACATCTATAAAAATCCAACTCAACACACAAAGATATGCTCAGATGCGCCAAGTCATTCGCTATGTTCACACCTTATTATTGTGCACTTATTGAAATTTAAATTAACGTATCTTTTCTGAAATTAAATATTATTACTACATATTCTATTGTATTTTTAATAATTCCTAAAAAAAATATCAACCGATTCAACACGCAAGAAAACAACTCTAGTGTTTCAAATTCAATAGAAGGAAAGATATCTTTTATACTAGACTTTAGGTTTAAGCTTAAAACTAATAGCAGGAATATTTACAAGCATAACTTATTTCATTATGTGCAACAACAGCAAGAACAAAAAAAATCAATCATTATTGTTTTCGAATCAAAATTATAGTTCACAAGGCAAAGTCAATAAATCAGTTATAAACTCAAAACAAAAAAAAAAACCTATACCCAAACATCAGAAAGTTATCCTTATAAACGAGTTGAAGCATTTTAAAATCCAATCGCACAGTAATATGCAAGATTCTGAAAACTACAAGTATAATTAACTCTGAACATGATTAACACATCATACTACCTATGTATCATTTTAGTAAAAAAAACAACCGTAATTAACCCGTAGATATGTTGCATATCCATTATCCATATACATATGAATAATATTATTATTATATTTTTTTTATGTATACAATTATATATCTCAAGTTAAAA